TGTGGTTGTTAGGCTTGTGTCTCAAGACTGCATCATGAGTAGGGCCTTGGGAGACACTAGAACAAGACTCAATTCCTTTTCCTTCCCTCCCACCCTTTCCCCTCCCTCTCTTCCTTCTGTTTCTTCCCTCCTTCCCTCTCTGCCCACCTACCTCCCTGTCTCCTTTCCTTCCTCCCTTCCTCCCTCCTCACCTCCCCCTTTTTTCTTGAGACAAGTAATCGATTTGTCACTGAGGCTGCAATACAGTGGCTCATTCATAGCTCACTGCGGCCTTAAGTTCCTGGGCACAAGTGATTTTCCCATCTTGGCCTCCTAAGAAGCTGGGACTACAGGCATGCACCGCCACGACTGGCTAATTTTTAAAATTTTTTGAAGAGACAGAGTCTTGCTGCATTGCCTACGCTGGTCGCTAACTGCTGGCTTCAAGTGATACTCCATCCTCAGCATCCCATAGTGCTGGGACTACAGGTGTGAGCCACCACACACAGCCTGCTTTTTTATTGCCTACAGATCATACGAGGATTTCATCAGAGCAGTTCATGGTTTTTTGTTTTATTAATATCAGCAGTATCTAGATGGTGTGGGAGGATAGATGGAGAGATGGATCCGTGAAATTAAAGGAAATCAGGGGAAGCAGAAAGACACAGAGAAATTAAAATGAAAGAAAATGTGATATCAAAGAAATGCTGGGTATAGAGGAAATATACATTTAATCAAATTCCCAAAGTAAGAACTGTAACTTTTTATTAGTAGAATGTAATAAAATACTGAAAAGGCCCTTAGGAATCACTGTTCTGGAATATTAAAAGATTGTCATCAAATGTCCTGTCCAACTTTAAGAGTTTATAATTTTAATAAAAATTTTTATTTGTAGATCTTTTGAAGAGTTGTAATTTGTTTTATATCCCAATAGTCTGGTATCTCATGTGTTCTTCATGACCTACTTAAATGTAATGATTTGATATGTATGTTAACCAGCTCCCTTAATAACCTAGGCTATGTGGCACTGGCTCCCAGTGATTTTTTTTTTTTTTACCTTTTAGTTTAAATTTTCTGGAACATAAACTGGTCTTTTTCCCTTGGGATAAACTCATATTTCCTTTAAAAAAATATTTTTATAAATTTGGTCAGGAGATAGAGGTGGTTGCTGTGATTGCTTCAAAAGACCTTTAATAATATATTTTTTAAAGCTTCAGTCCTACTTTCATTTTCCTTTCATAACACCTGACTCCTCCCTGTCTTTCTTTGTGTATTTCTTGAAGGATACTTCATCTGCCTGCCCCCCCCTGGAATTTTTTTTTCTTCTTATTAGGCAGTCCCATGCAAGCCCTGCCTTATCTCTGGGGTGTTCCCTGGCCCCTCTAACCCCAGATCTCTCTTACATTTTATAGCATGATCTGTACTTTTCACTGGCATTTGACATGTTATCTTTTATTATGTTTTATCTGTTTAATGAGAATGTCCAGCTCCTTGGCCACAGGTACTATCCTGAATAGCCCTTTGAGTTTAGAGATGATGCCGGCAACCTCACACATATCACCCTATACATTTAGATCATATGCAGGGAGAGGAATTGTACATGTGGAAAGTAAACATCTTTTCTTATTGCAGAAGAAAGAGGTGCAGAAATAGTCTTTTTCATTGTCTCTGGGATGTTCCCTAGTGGAAAACCCCACTCTCAATTGGTGCTGTTTGCTTGCACTTTGAAATGTATCTCTTTTCGTTTACATTATTTTCCAGACTCCTGGGCCTACTTTTCACAATGGACTTTATGTTTTCCTGGGATCATGCTTTGATTTAGTAACTCTCCAGTGCTTGCTGATATGCTCATTTCCAATGGGCTTTCTACTGTAAACTGAGCTGACTCATAGAATGAAAACAAAATCCAGGGATTTTGAGAAAACTTAACTGTTAATATGAGTTGCAGTACATTTTTCAGGGATGAAATTAGTCACGATGAAAGTTTGTGCTGGAAGTTGCCAACATTAACTGTCCATTCAAATAACTTGAAAGTATTGCAGGGCATGGTAGCCCATGCCTGCAATCCCAGCACTTTGGGTGGCAGGGATGGGAGGATGGCTTGAGACCTGTAGTTTGAGATCATCCTGGGCAACACAGACCCCTGACTCTGTCTCTACAACAAATAAAAGGATTAGCTGGATATGGCGGCACATGCTTATAGTCCCAACTACTCAGAAGGCTAAGGTGGGAGGATTCATTGAGGCTAGGAGTTTGAGGTGACGGTAAGCTATGAGTAATCATGCCACTGTATACTCTAGCCTCCAGGGTGACAGAGTGAGAACCTGTCTCAGAAAAAAAAATTAAAAAAAATATTGATTCACTTAGTACCAATATTTGTGCTGAGGAAGTTCAGATTCATTTTAAAAAAAATCAGCTAGCTTAAAATTATATTTATGCTCATGTATTTAATTTTTGTTCTTCTAGTGGGTACTGTAATTCATTACTTTTGCTTAACAGGGACTACCTACTTCTTGCTTCGCTCCTACATAACTTCCACATCCCTTCACCATGACCAATGCTACCAGCTTCTTGCAGTGCCTCAGTACACCTCAGGTGGACAAGGCATTAGTATCCTGTTTTCCTAATTCGCTGTTTTTTTCCTAATCCATATGAGATACAGTGCCAGATAAATCTCTTTAATGTGCAGTGCTAATATGCCCCTTTCTCTAGGAGCTCTCTAGTGCTTGCTTAAAGCGTAATTACCATTTTTATTATTCCAAGATGACACAGATTGGCCTTCCCCTACTGCTCTCCATGTAGTGGTTCTATTTAAAAGTCATCAGGGAGGCAGGGGCCTTGATGTTAGGTTACTGGATTACCTATCACAGTTTCAGAAGCTGTTCTTTGAAGGTGTAAAAATACACTCTAGTAAGTTCTTCTAGTGTTCTCTAGAGCATCTTTATAGATGACCAGGCTCTACAGGACATGCTTGCAGTAAACAAACTCAAAGAATGTCAGAATGTTAATGTGTTAACTTCAAGTGAGAAATATAATCCCAAAGGGATCAGACTTTCCTTGTTGGCTGCTCAGGAAATCGATTCCTTTCAATCGTTCACAGGCCAGCTAATTCCAGTTGTTTTATTCTCCTTTCTCTATAACATGTAGATCATGGCTCTGATTTGGTGGTGGTTGGTCTGCCACCTAAGCTTCAGTATTTTAGATATACTCAAGAACAGGCTGAACTTCATTCTGAATTTAGCTTCCAACAGTAATGCATTTAAATGTCTTCACATACACAGAATTACTCTCTTGGATGAGTTAAGTGCTGTATCTACTGTCTTTTATTTCAGAGGGTGATCTTTTTCTGACTTTGTCCTGAAATTGTTGGGGTGCTCTGCAGTAGGCTTCTCTATTCGATCATCCCCTGTGTTCTGAGCTAGATGGCGTGCTGCTCCCTGACTACATTCCTTCCTCTCCAGTGGTTTTGTTTCATCCTCATGCACTTCCCCCCATCTGGGTTGTTGAAATCCTGCCACTTCATGAAGATCCATCATGAATGCTGCCTCTTCTTGATTCCTTTGAATTCTATACTCCTCTTGTGGCACTGTCTTATTCCACCTTTAACACATAAGGTGGAATAAGACAGTGCCGCAAAAGGAGTACAGAATTCCTTTGAATTGTTCCTTGTTTCATCTTCCCTAGTGAAGCAGCTCGAGGTATTGGGCATTGCTCCTTGGCTCTCTATAGCCGTTGACCTGCTGTTTTTAGTGATCTTCAGCTATTTCAGTGGCCAGAAAGTCGATCATTGAAACTATGACTTGCAAGCTTTTATCTACTTCAACTATTTTTAGGATTTTCAGTTTTAATGGCTATTTGTTAATGAATAATTTAGTTTCTTCCAGGAGATGCAAGTTGATGTCACCTCCATTAATAGCTTTGAGTATTGAGTGCTGGTAAAACCTTGTCTCTTCATGGTAATACTTGTGAAATTGCTTGACACCTATTATAGTTACGGGAAATATACTAGGAGTGGTGAAAGAGGTTGTTGTGATACTACCAGTCTGTCTCTGTAGAGATGCTCTCTTATCACTTGGCTTGCAAAGACATCTTCTCTAGTCTCTCAAACTTTATTTTGGAAAGATTGAAGTGTGTGTTAATGGGGGAAGTTTTCATTTTTGGAATTGCTTATTATATGGAGTTTATATTTATCCATATACATCAGTAGTCTTTAAATTGGGAAGTGCATACATACATATTAGAACAAATTAGAATATACATATTATAAAGTTTCTTTTATTTTTTAGAGATGGGATCTCACTCTGTCACCTAGTCTGGTGTGCAGTGGTGCTATCATAGCTTACTGCAGCTTTGAACTCCTGGGTTCAAGCTATCCTTCTAGCTCAACCTCCTGTATAGCTGAGACTTCAGACATGCACCACCATGCCCAGCTGATTTTTTTACTTTTGTAGAGACAGGGTCTCACTATGTTGCTCAGACTGGTCCCAAACTCCTGACATCAAATGATCCTTCTCCCTTGGGCCCCAAGTGTGGCTTCCCACCACCCTGGCCTTTATATTTTCATCTAATTTAACATTTCTACTTTTTGTATATCTTTTATAAAAATATATTAGCACAGTAGTATATGTGTATAGTTTATAAACAAATGTGTTTATATTGGGCATGCTTATTCAGAAATTTAGTGACAGATGTGCACAACCAGAAAAGTTGAGACTGTCGCTGTATACACTAGGAACTAAGTTTTCGTGGACAACTATGTGTGTTATTAGAAAGTTTTGATAAGCAAGGACATATTTCATTTCTTTAGTTTGCCAATAAGTTTATCTGATTTTCAGTTTAAAGGGTAAAACTGAAAATAAATTAATATTTTTTGTGTCTATCAATAGAGTCTCACTTTTTCCTCCAGCAATGTCAGTGTTGTCTCAAGTAATGTCTGCTCTTTCAGTCCTCAATTAGTCCTTTGTGTAAAGTATGGATGTTACTTTCCAGGCCCTCAGTTTGTTTGGTTTTGTTTTCTGTAGCTTCAGGGGCCTTGTCAAAGTTAACACGTGGGCTGAAAGATGAATCGCTGGCTTATATCTATCATTGCCAGAATCATTATTTTTGTCCAATTGGCTTCGAAGCAACCCCTGTTAAAGCTAATAAAGCATTCAGGTAAGCATTTACATCTTTTTTGTAGACACTTCACCAGGAAAATGTATTGTAGAAAGCATTTTAAGAAATATTCTAAGTCTCTTAGAAAATGGGAGCCTTGGTGATCTACTTTCCTGACATCTAGTAAGATAACATTATAGCTTATTCTTTTGCAGGATTGCATTTAGCTAACTGTACTTTAACAAATAGCCACTTAGATACTGTTGCTCAGTCATTATGAAACAAAGTCATTTGAAAAGTCACTATTTTGTTTATTACAAAACAGATGCAAAGGACTTTAGAGATTACATTGCAGTGCCTCATCCTACATCCCACATGAGCAATGGATAACAGAATCTAGTGTCAAGAAGATTGTCACACCAAAGTAAATTAAAAAGCATCCTCCTTTCTTATAGTGAAAAGCATGGAATTTATCTGGGTTTCCACTCCATCCTGTTTCCAGGAAGCTCAGAGTAAATTTTTATTTCTAATGTCAGGGACTATATTATATTCATGGTCATATTTGTGTCTTTCTTTGCTTAATCCAGAGTTTCTGTTTTATTAACTATATATCTTTGCTTTAAACTTATGTCTTTTTGGAAGAGACAGTTTTTAAAAAACAAATGGTGAATGAGTTTTAATACTTTATTTAGCCGGTTTTTTAGCCAGTTTTCCTCATGATGGGTTGAGATAATGGCAGGATGGTTAAAAGCAAAGGGAAAAGTGTCTACTTAAGGACTGGTGAAAAGAGAAGCCAGGAATACTTTGAGTAAAGATGTTGGCAGGCATGGTCACCTCACCCAGCTGAGGGTCTGGTTCATTCACAACTGAGTGGGTGGGGTTGGTAAGTGAGGAGGACGAGGAGGAGAAGGAAGAGGAGGGGAGAGGAGGAGACAGCGCTGCCTCAGTAACTGCCTCTTAAGGTCAGGATGAAGATCAGGCTGGGAGACTATGGCTTTGTCATGGGGATAGGATGGGTTCTTTGGGGCTGGAGGCCATGCAGTCTTGGAGTCCCACTTAGAGGCCTCTGGTGGGGGCATGAGAAGAATCCTGAGATAGGTAGGCATGACCTAGGAGAACAGGGATGCTGGATTTTGTGTTTTTGTAAATAAGGAGCAAGAGGGAAACCAAAATTGTTCTTCCCAAATCCTGAACTGCTTTATTCATCTCTCTGAAGGTGAGATTTCTTATGAGTGAGGTGTATTATGTGTTTGTTTTACAATTTCATCCTGCAACTTCACCTTATTTCAGACATCTATTAGAGGTAAATTTACTCCTACTTTGTACCTTTTAAAAGAGAGTTCCTCTCCTCTATCCGTAACTAAGAATCACTTGAGGCCTTTTTTTTTTTAATGGCAAATTCCTGGGCTCTGTTTCAGACCTATTTGAATTAGAATTTCCAAGGATAGGATAGACATCAGGGTGTTTAAATATTCCACAGGTGAATCACTGCTTTAGAGTTTTATTTTTAGGATGCCTTTTGAAACTTCTTGAATGCATAGTGAAAGGAGAATAGCTGAAGAGTGTTGGTAGCATGCTAAGATTTTTTTTTTCCTCCTGGGATCTGAGAGGTGGTATATTAAAACTATTTTAGCTCTAGATTTTGAGTAGGGAATAAGGCCTACATTTAATTTATGCATTATTTTAATAGCCTTCAGAAGTTTGCCTAAACTCTAATATCTATTCTAGATTAATGAATGCCATCTTTGAATAAACTTTAGTATATCTTTTATTAATGTATAGTTGAAACAATATACTCAAGGGAGTGAACAACCTTTATTAAGCTTAGTGTGAATTTATTTTATATTTAGCAGGGGACCTCTCTCACCACAGGAAGTCGAATATTGGATCTTAATTGGAGAATCAAGTAGAAAACATCCTGCCATTCACTGTAAAAAGTATGTTAATTTCCATCTTATTTTCTTTAATTGAAGTCAGATTTAGACCCAGTGAAATATATAGATCCCATTAATAATTGTATAGATGAGTTTTGACAAATGTATACACCTGTGTAATTACTACTCAAACAAGATGTAGTACATTTTCTATATTTATGTATTTATTTATGTATTTACTTATGAGTTGGAGTCTCACTCTGTTGCCCAGGCTAAAGTGCAGTAGTATGATCATGGCTTAATACAGTCTCAACCTTCTGGGCTCAGGTTTTCTGCCTTAGCCCCCAAGTACCTGGGACTACAGGCATGCACCATCACTCCTGGCTAATTTTTTGACTTATTGTAGGGACAAGGTCTCACCAAGTAGCCCAGGCTGCTCTAAAGCCCCTGGTCACAGGCGATCCTCTCACCTCTGCCTCCCAAAGTGCTGGGATTATAGGCGTGAGCCACTGTGCCTGGCCAAGATGTAGTACATTTTCATAACCATAGAAAATACCCTCTTTCTCTATTTCTGTCAATCCCCATAGACAGTCCCTGTTCTCATTTCTGTCACCATAGTTTTGCTTTGCCTGTTCTTTTCCATGTAAATAGAATCATATAATTTTTTTCATATCCTGTTGTATGAGTCTGCCACAATTTGTTATCCATCTTCCTGTTGATGAGCATTTGAATTGTTCTGAGTTTGGTCTAATGTGAATAAAGCTGCTAGCAACATTCATGTATAAATCTTTAAAATTTTTATGTAAGTTTTATTGAGACATAATTCACAGAGCCAAAAGTTCACTCTTTAAAAGTGTACAATCCAATGATTTTAGTATAGTTCCAGAGTTGTGCACCAATCAGCATGGATTCCAGAACATTTTCATCACCCCCCAAACAAAACCCCATACCCATTAGCAGTCATTCCCCATTCCTCCAAGCCCGTGACACTACTGATCTTTCTGTCTCTGTGGATTTGTCTGTTCTAGACATTTTGTATAAATGTGGGTATCCTATAGTATGTATGTAGCATTTTGTCTGGTTTCTTCCACTTAATATAATGTTTTCAGTGTTCATCTATGTTTTAGTGTGAATCAGAACTTAATTCCTTTATATAATGGCTGAATCATTTTCCTTAGTATGGCTTTACCATGTTTTGTTGCACAAATCTTTTTGAGGACATATATTTTGTTTCTTCTTCTTAGATACCTAGGAGTGGAACTGCTGATTCATAGGATAAATATGTATTTAAGAAACTGAGAAAGTTCTGCAAAGTAGTCGTAACCCTTCTGATGAACAGACGTTCTGATGAACAGAAGTTCTTGATTTTGATTAAACCCATCTTATCAATTTTGTTATTTTATGTGCTTTTTTGTGCAGCTTTAAGAAATTTTTGCCTATCCCAACACTTCAAAGATAATCTCCTGTGGTCTTCTAGAAGTTTTATAGATTTTATATTTAGATTCATAATCCACTTCAATTATTTTTTGTGTGTAGTATGACGCAGAGGTCAACTTTGATTTTTTTTTCCCCAAATGTTTATCTAGTAATTCCAGCACTACTTATTTGTAAAGATCTTCCTTTCCTTGTTTATTTGGTGCCTGTGCTGAAAACTAATTGACTATGGGTTGTTTCTGGACAATCTTCCACTAATCTTTTTTCTGTCCTTTCACTAGTGCCACACTCTTAATTGTTATAGTTTATATTAAATCATGAGATTTGTTAGCATGAACACTCTGAATTTGTCTTCTTCTTCAAGACTATTTTGGTTCTTCTAGGACCTTTGTTTTTCCATAAAAATGTTAGAATTTTTCATTTTTTCACTAAAAAGCCTATTGAAATTTTGATTAGGAAAGACTCTATAAAATTTATAGTTTAAATTTGGGAGAACTGATATAATAACCATATGGAATTTTCCAATCCACGAATATGGTCTATATCCATGAACATGACTATATCTAATCACTTAATTAGAGATTTAATTCTTTTTTTTTTTTTTTTGAGTTGGAGTCTTACTCTGTTGCCCAGACTGGAGTGCAGTGGCCATTCCCGGCCACCGCAGCCTTGACCTGCTGGGCTCCGGCGATCTTTCCGCCTCAGCCTTCCAAGTAGCTGGAAGAA